CCACATGCAGAAGACCCTTACAGGGTCCAGGGAACAGGGCCATGTTCCCCATCCCCACCATGACTGCGCAGGACGTCGGGGGATATCAATGCTACTATCAGAGCCCTGCTGGCTTCTCACAGCACAGTGACCCCCTGGAGCTGGTGGTGACAGGTGAGTGGACACTCAGGGGTCCGGCCCCTGCTCTGCCTAAGGAAAGGGGTCTGCCCCCGGATGTCCCTCTCACAGCCCATTAATGGGGGACGAGGGAGCCATGAACACCTGCCTCCTTCTCTCCTAGGATTCTACAGCAAACCCAGCCTCTCAGCCCTGCCCAGCCCTGTGCTGACCTCAGGAGGGAACGTGACCCTCCAGTGTGGCTCATGGAAGGAGTTTGACGGCTTTATTTTGGTGAAGGAAGGAGGACACCACCTCACCTGGACCCTGGACTCACAGCAAAAACCCAGTGGGCAGTTCCAGGCCCAGTTCCCCGTGGGGCCTGTTAACCCCACCCACAGGTGGACATTCACATGTTATGGCTATTATAGGAGCAAACCCCAGGTGTGGTCAATTCCCAGTGACCCCCTGGACCTCCTGGTCTCAGGTAAGGAATTCCCATGTTTCACTCCAATATTTGTTGAGGCTGCGACCTTGTGGGCAGAGACCCAGGGTGTGAGAGGGTGACCAGCAGGCAGGACGGGGGACCTCAGCCAGGACCTTAGATGGCAGGTGCTGCTGGACACGCAGGGGACCCTACCCTGCAGGAGATGTCCAGGAGCAGCACAGGGTCCCAAGGACAGGGTGGAGCAAATGGCATGAACCACAGCCACTGCCCCAGGAGAAGGGCTTCACGCCTCTCATGCAGGTCCTGCACCCTGGTCCAGGAGGGCAGCTGTCCACGGGGAAGGAAGAGACACACAGGACGCAGGTCATTGGGAGGAGCAGGGGCTGTGGTCCACGTCCCCTCTGGGAGCTGCTCCTGGGCTGCAGCAGGTCCCCACACCCTGGCTGGCTGCAGACACGCAGGAGGCTCTGGCCTGTGTGCTGGTGTTCACTCAGCTCTAGGGGCAGAGGACGGCCACTGTCACTGGGTAGAAATCAGGGGCAGCCGGACCTGCCCCTCCTGGCTGCCCCTCCCAGGTTCAGAGCTGGAGATGCAGCCTGCCTGCTCCTCAGGCCCCTCCGCCACGGGGGGACATACGGCTCTTGGCATTTTGTAACCCACACACGATGAGTTCAGCTCTCTGGGGGACACTGTGAGGGCCAGGCATGCTCACCCTGAGCAGTGATGAATCAGGTGCGAGGTCACCTGGGGCAGACCCTCACCCCTGCTTTGTAAACCCTCCTGACCTTCTCCCCTGTGCTGAGGTCTGGGGGCATTGTTGTGGGCTCAGCTGTCCTGCTGGGCAGTGGGACAGAACCCCCCTCCTGCTCTGTCCAGCCGGCACTGTAGGATCCTCAAATGTCCCTGGACTCCCTTTGTCCCCACTGTGTCCTCTATACAGGGATATCTGTCCACCTGAACTTATGAGCACACTCAAAAGCATCCCCAGCACCATCAGCAGGGACAGCGCTGGCCTGCTGTCACCTCCATGCGGGAACCCTGCTGTGCCACTGAGTGCCTCACACACCCGCCAGGCTGGCCCCTGGGTGACCCTGTGTGAGCAGCCCGCTGCGGCCCTGGGCAGGGTGAGCACCTGCTCCTTCTCTGCTGCGTGGGGTCCTCCAGGAGAGGCCACAGACCCTCAGGCAGTGGCTTTGGCAGAGAGACCAGCACATGGGTCACAGGAAGACTGGGTGGTCCCTAGAACGCAGGGCGATGGCCGTCCCCACAGACTGCACAGTCATGGAGCCAGGGTCCATGTGGTCGTGGGCAGGGTGGGCGGGACCACTGCTGCCGACTCCAGGGGCTCAGTGACCGCCCCCACAGTTCTGATGGGGTTTGAAACAAGGAATTAGACAGGTCCACACCCAGGGGAAAGTCGCCGTCCACAGGCAGATGTCACTCACGACCATCTTTGGGGCGACCTCGGGTTGCTCTTGTGTGGGTCGAGGCCACCTGCCACCGTCCACCTCGACTCTGAGACTGCACAGGCCTGAGGGACCTGGGGGTGGGACCAGCGTCTCTGCTCCATGGAGCCCCAGGTCCCCTGGGCCTGCTCCTGTTCTGAAGGCAGCTCTTCCCAGCTCCCCTCCAGGAGGCCTTCCCCAGGTCCAGGTGTGTCCAAAAGGACAGAGCTCACCTCACCTTTACCTAACAGAAGAGGAGCCACCTGCTGCTCAGCCGCCCCTCATCACCACTTGCAGGAGACCCACAGGAACCTGGGCCTCGGGGACCCCGTGGTCCCCCTGTGACATGTACCTGGACCAGCACCGCAGCATGAGCCTCTGCCACACACGCTTGGGACAGGCCAGCGGGCTCTGGGATGGTGCCTTGGGGTCATGGTTGGCACACAGCTCAGGGGACAGGAGCCCTGGGGTCAGACCCAGGCAGCGGGCATCCAGGCCCAGGCCCCTGCCCAGGAGCCTCTGTGGGTCTCCACACTAAGGTGGGAGGGGAGAGGGCCCACAGGTGAGGCCCACCTGATGGTGCTGCTGTGTCAGCCTGGGTCTGCTCTGGCCACCTCCTCCCTGGGGACAGTCGGAATCCCCTGGGGAGGGTCACTGACTCCTGCAGGTCCAGGTGAGGAGCCCAGTGCCTGGAAGAGGGTAGATGACAAGGCCACTCTGCCCCAGGGGGTGCAGGAAACAGGTCCCCAGTTAGCCCAGGGTCCTACTGAAGGGACATGTGACTACATCAATCAGGGTCACTCCTCGTCAATCTGGGCTGACTACATAAAGACACAGACACAGAAAATACATTTTTCTTTGGGTTCAGTGACGGCTCCTCAGCCACAGCTCCCACAGGAGCCCAGGCAGGCAAGAAGGAGAGGGCACACCTCGAACCCAGGTTTTACTACTGGGGAGCCAATCCACGGAACATTCTATCCAAAAAAGGGAAAAGGGTAGGGTTACCAAATAGGTGGGTGTGATTCACCCCACCAGGTGACGCCCACCCGCAGAGCTGCACCTTTCTATGGAGCAGAGGTAGAGTCCTATTGCACTGCGATGGGTGCAGTACCATTTCATTCCCCTTTACTCAGGACTTAAAGGTGGTTGCGCAGCTCCTGTCCAGTGCACCCCCCACATCCTCCTGTTTCCAGTCAAGACTGTGTTCTCTGGAGAAGGAACAGGAAGTTTACCACACCAACCAAGCACAGGAGGGAAGTGTGGCTGCCAAGAGGGAGGCACACAACGTGAGCCCCACCCTCCAGATAGGCACTGGGTCCTGCCCAGGACTGAGGCCCATGAGGGCAAGACAGACTGCTGCTACCCACCATGGCCATCCCTGAGCAGTGAGCACCAGCTGAGCACAGTCCAAGCAGGGCTACCAGACCAGCTGGGCTACGGGACCAACCAGCAGAGTTCACCCAGCTGTGTGCACTGGCCCTGAGACATGCAGGGTGGACCACAAAGGGAGTGGCCCTGGGGCAAGGGTGGAATATTGCAGGGACCCAAGTCCCTAGATTACTTTGGACCTGCGGTGAATGAGCATCTAGCGTGCCACATTCAGAGAGGTCTGGATGCAATGCCATCTGTGAGACCAGCAAGTCCCCTGGAGGCCACTTCCTTCCCTGGAACACACTCCAGCAGGAGACAGCAGCAAATCCTGCTTCCTGAGGCTGAAGCCTGAGCTGAGTGTGGGTGGGTGGGCCCACAGCTGCCCTGGGCAAGGACCCCAACATCTGCTCCATCAACATGGAGCATCCCCTCACTCACTTCAGGGGGAGGACTCCCAGCCACCCGTGAGGTCCACAGGGAAGTAAGAACATGACCCTGGGACGCACTGGTGAAGGCTGATGTGGGGACACCTACAACAGCAACCAGGTGCTGACGGTGGCCATGAGCACAGGAAGGTGCCCTTAGAGTGGATGGAGCTGGGGGCTGAGCAGGCCGCTCTGAGGCCCAGGGCCAGCCTCCATTCACAAGGCTCTGGATTCTACCCCCAGCACCAGAAAACAGGTAGGTTGGGGCAAATATGCACAGTCTGGGTGCCTTCTCCTGGTTTAGAAGATGTAGATACGGGGGATACACAGAGACATTCATTCTTAAGGTTTGAATGATTTTGTTATTTTTTCCCTGAGTAGGATCCATGAAGAATGAAATGAGCATCCAGGGTCACCAGGCACTCAGAACACCAGATAGCCAAGACTTTTTAAAAAGAACCTCTCCATGACATATTGTGATTTAAATGCCTAACATACAGGAAACAAATACCATTTTAAAAGTTTCAAAAGTAAAAAATGTTAGTTTACATTTAGAGGCAGCCCTGTCAGAATTACTTCCAATCTCTTAGCACAAATCCTGAAAATCCAGGAGGACTTTGAATCATGTGGCCCAAACCCTGAAAGAAAATAACGGCCAACAACTATTGCTCTATCCAGAAACGTTATCCTTCAGAATCAAATAAGAAATGAAAACCTCCCAAGAGAAGTGAAACTAAAAGAATCCGTGACTACTAAAATGGCACTATAGAAAACACTTGTAAAAATATTTAACTCAAAAGTAATAAAAAACCACATTAAAAAACCACAGAGCTCACCAACAGGTGAACCTCATCTGAAGAGTAACTAAGCAAATGAGAAACAAAACCCACTTAGACATTAAAGATAAATCAAAATGGTGGGAATTAATAGCACATCTCTACAGTCACACTGAATGTAAGTGGTCTCAACTTTCCCATTAAATGACTTAGACTGCAAGAATGGATTAATAACAAGACCCCACTATGTTTTAAGCTTAGTTAAAATATCAGGATCTCTGGGATGAAAAGGCACCTTTAATTTACTTCTCTTGGGCTTTCTTCCCTCACTTAGAGATATTTACAGGTGCACCACTTAATTTTGAAACAGTTGACGTCGGGGTGGGGTTCTATATATCTCAAGGTGATTGAGTTCTAATATAATAAATCATGCAGGAGACATGGTCTACAAGATTTCAAATATTAAAAAAGTAAGGAAATGTTTTGTGTATTGACTGTTACTTACGTGCAGGTCAGAACTGATCAAATTGCATACTTACAATGTGCACATTGTATTGTACTTCAATTGTATCTCAATAAAGCTATGAGAAAATTTTTTTTAAAAAAATCAACCTTTTACAGGGCTGGGATTGTGGCTCAGTGGTAGAGCGCTCACCTAGCTCGGGCGGGACCCAGGTTCTATCCTCAGCACCACATAGAAATAAAGGCACTGGGGCTGGGGATGAGGCTCAAGCAGTCGCGCACTCACCTGGCATGCACAGGGCGCTGGGTTAGGTCCTCAACACCACATAAAAATAAAATAAAGATACTGTGTCCACCTAAAAAACTAACTAAATAAATTAAATAAAGGCATTGCATTGTGTCCATCTACACCTAAAAAATAAATATTTTTTTAAAAAATCAACCTGGGTGGGGGGGTGCTGGGGTGGTGGCTCAGCGGTAGAGCGCTTGCCTAGCATGTGTGAGGCACTGGGTTCAATTCTCAGCACCACTTACAAATAAATAAAATAAAGGTCCATCAACAACTAAAAAATATATTTTAAAAATCAACCTTTCCAAACACCTACAGAAATCATATAAACATGGAG